TTTTTTTTTTCAATTTTCTACTTTGATGAACTATAGGAACAGGAAAAAACTTGTTAAAAAAACGCCACCTTTTTATTAAAAATATGTTGTTTTATATATATATATATATATATATATATATATATATATATATATAAAGATTTGTCGCCTTGCTGAATTCTTCTGCTTTGGTTGTTCCACATCAAACAAATATAACAAATCAGACTCTTTTCAGTGCAAACCAGCGTGGACCTTTGAGAAAAACTAATCACCCCCTAAAGCCAATAACTTGCTGTTCCAACACTGGCAGAAACAACATGAAAACAAGCATTAACTTGCAAAGGGTCGTTTCCATCTAAAGATGAAAGAACTTTTCCCCTGCTCTGCTTTAGTTTACATCCATGAATTGGTTGGAGTTTAAAGTCTCAAACAGATCCCAGGACAATCCTTCAGGACTCATCATTCCATCAAATACACAACAAAGTTTCAGTGTTTGCAGGAAACTGCTTTACTAACAACCCTGCAAGGTTTATGAACATTCAAAAAGTCGAATCAGCCAACAGAATATTTCCTGGGATCATCAAGATGGTTGAGGAGAAATGTGAGATATATTGTGGTCAGCAGTGGTTTTGGCTTTGGAACTGATAAAGATCATTTTTGTCCGGTCCATCTTGCTGGTTGTTTATATATGAACTCTTCCTTAGTTTGCAGCAACAATTGTATTATTCAGGGGGAATTTGAGACCTCTTATGTCACTTATGAACTCTGGGAATCACTGATCCAGAACACTTTAGAACTGTGGTTCTATTCTAGAGTCCATTGAAAATTAGTTTTAACTTTTTCATTAAGAAAACGACTAACTTTAAATCTATAACCGGTAGTCTCTTTGTGTTGTCAGACATGTTTTCAGTTGAAGTTAAATCTTGGCTTCAGATCTTTGCTGTTACTAAGGCTGCAACTAACTATTATTACAAATTGATTAATCTTTTGACTATTTATTCCATCAATCGATTAATAATCGGATAACCAAAGAGTCTGTAAAGAAGACTTTTTATTAAATCAAACCAGGGGGAACTAAAATGTTTCCACTTGAGGAAATCTGGATAGAGCACATTGACAGATGGAAAAAAGTTTTTTCTTAAATGCAAAATGTGGGTTGCTCTGTCAGCTAAAGGCATGTTTTACAGTCTATTTCTATACTCCATTTAATGATTAATTGATTACTAAATAAGTTGATGATTATTTCAATAATCGATTTATCCAATTAATTGATTCAGACCTAGTTGTAACCAGTGAAATTATGCTCAAAGAGGGAGCCTAACCAGTGTTAATATAAGATGTTATTATGGGTTCATAAAACAGGCACAGGTTGGTTTGGATTGTTTAGACAAGTTGAACACAGGGGTTATCCAATCATTGCCCACCCCATACCATTTTTCCCTCTAAAACAGACAGTGGCAGCAGTAATACTCTCAAGTGGAATATTCAAAACATTTTATTTTTTTGTGGCTAATTATACACATCAATATACCAACATCAAAGATGATAAATACAGAATTCATTCTCTTTTCAGAGCTAGATTTTGTGTTATATGGGGTAAAGAGAAAATGATGTGTCTCTGCAAGTCATCTAGGAGTCTTCAGTGAAACCAAAGATAAAACAATAACAATTTTAATAAAAATGTATCAAATTTATGTTGCTGTAAATATTAATTTTATGCAGAATATTTATTGATACAAGTAGGTTAGTAATGACAATGGAAAAGATTTACGCCCCAGAACTCAAAACTGAAAGCTTTATCCACTATACCTTTTATCTAGAAATTAGGGATGTTTAAATATATGTGTCTATTTGTTAGCAAAGGCTGTAGGAAAGTATAGTTTGTCTTTATTTAGAAAATATGGATGTTTTGCTGGTAAATTTTCCTTTTAGAACAGTTTAGATTGACCCTGAAGTTCTGGTGCCTATCCACTTTGGTTATTGCCTGGCCACCCTTATAGCAGATAGATAACAAAAGCAGGAAAAATCTGCAATGGGGGTAAAACTTCACAGCACTTTGCAGTCACATGATGAAAGGAACATAAAAAAGTCAAAGGTTATTAGAAGCAGTTTGAAATGATTAGATGAAACATATGTGAATATTTAAATACCTCGGGTAAAAACAACTTAATTCTTTGTCTGCATTTATATATTTTCAGCATTTGAAATGCGCTGAGTCCTATAAATACCGTTCAAAATCTGCAGCGTTTCAAATCCATTTAATCAGAAAACCGGGATTAACGGTTCAAAAGTAGATTAGTTGTGATTTGTTTGTTCTACCTGCTCGTTGAATTTGTTCAGGTTCTGGAAATCTGTACCAACAGAGTCCGGTAAAACATCTTTAGCGAAATGAAGCTGCATCTTTTAGTGGAGTTGTACAGCTGGCTGTCGCCTTGCAGCTGATTTCTGGAGATAAACTTCCGGGTTCAGCTTTGCGCATGCGCGCACCCCTTGCTCA